TGCGGCCTCGTGCCTGCTGCGCCCGCCGCGGTGCAGCCCCCTGGGCCCTTGCGCTTCTGTGGCCCAGTAGCGGGGCGCGGGAGCTGGGGGCCTCGGGACCGAGAAAGGTAAGGCCATCCTGCGTCGCCAGGGCGGCCCCCATCACTCGTGCAGGACATTTAAGTCTGTTTTCCAGTCCCTAGAAAGGCCGCCTCTTCGTTGTTGTGGGTTCCCCCGAGGGTGCGCTGTGGGTTCAGCGAGCCTTTGTGCCGCTCCCTTCCTGTAGCCTCGGATCTCCACTTCCCGCATTTGGTGATGGACAGCTGCGTCACCCTCAGTCTCTGCGTGTCCCCTTATGATGCCGCCTTCATGGATGGCGTCCTTTAGTTGGGGGTCGAGGCTCGCAGGAGCCCGGAGCTGTGAACCGCTTGCTCAGAAGAACAACAGAGGAGAGAATCCGAGAGCGGAGAATCCGCAGGGCCGGGGTCCACGTGGTGCTCGGGGTGGGCACTTGCCCTCGATCGGATTGTAAAATTAATGCTTTTATAAGCCATCGTTTTTGAAGTTGGAGCTACTACGAAAATTTAGTAAGAAAGCGTAATTAACAATGTATCTAACCCTGTATCACTACTGTGATATTTGGGGTCCATTTTTAAGGATTCTATTATCCTTTGCAGTATTTTGATGTGCTTGCCTGTTTTTATTCCTTTTTTCATCCATGTTACCCATTATGTTTGAGTTGGAACGTAATTAAGAAACATGATACATCTAGAAGCTTGGAGAGCTTTGTTCTGGAATTTTCTTGTAGTGTGAGAAGTAGCAGGAATCCGGAAGTGTGTGGTGCTTGGGGCTTGTGCGTCTTTCCTGCTCGTGTGAAGGTGCTGCTTCAGCCATTCGCATTTTGGTGTCACTGCTGAACACGTGGCCTTTTGCAAGGTGAGCCTGCAAAACTCTGGCCCGCCATCTTGCAGCCTCCCCGAGGCCTGGAGCCCCCCTAGAAAGGCCTCTTAGCTTTCAAGGTGTCCATCCCAGCCCCGCCCAGTAAACAGATGGCCCGGCGCCAGGGCTTTGGGGGCGCGGGGAGGGGTCCGAGGCCTCCGGGACGCTTAGTCAGGGGCTCTGGCACTGCCGCAAGCTGCTGCGGGGTTGGGTTTGTTCAGTGTACTTTGTCTTATCGCGTTTCCTTGCGCTGTCCAGCAGTTCACTGCTGAAATGTTTTCCCTGTGTGGTTTAGCAAAACCTTTTTTTCTCCTTTCTCTCTTCCTCTTTAACGTGCTGTTTAGGACAGATGGCACATTTAGGATGTCAGGCCCTCTGAGATCATCTCTTCCTTTGACCCTGAACTCTGCTGCGTAGCTGTTTACAGGAAGAGCCTTGACCTTCACGGGGCACTCGTGCAGCCTCAGCAGGGCAGTGAGAGCCAGGGGTCAGCATCCTTTCCTTAGCGTGTGTCAGGGCTTGATCCCTGGTCCTTTCTGTGCCCTCCACGTCTGTCGCCCAGAGCGAGGAGGCTTGAGTGGAGTGCACGATGGAGAGGGGTGTGAGCCCCTTCACCGCGTTTAGCGAGGGGCTCGTCCTCCTGTCTTTAGTTCCTGGGTGTCGACTGGACCAGAGCTCTCTTGGTTTGTTTCGGAGGCAGCGATTTTGTTATATTTATGGGGAAATCTGCAGACTGGGGTTAACTCACACTATCTTTTTCTTTTTCTTTTAAATTTTCATTCTTGAGATTTTAGTAGTTGAATTTTATTAAGTTTTTTGGGGGAGTATAAGGGCTATTAAATATTTGGTAGAATATTAGACAATTAGGAAAACGTGTGACCTCATCACTTAGTTTTTTGGTGTATTAGTTTAAGTGATTTTGAAACAAAATTAACATGGGTACATACAGCAACTGTTTGCCTTAAATGCTTAATTTCTGAAACGTTGGTGTCTGGGTAGGGAACGCGGTTAAGGAAGGTTGTAAATGCATGTGTGTGTACGTGTTAGAATACACTTCAGTGGTTTCAGAAGAAAGCTGGTCATACATGATTTTGCATGTAGCTTTAAAGTAGATTTATAAAATTGAATGTTTTTGGACTGTGGTTCTTTTCCCAATTTAACTCACACCTCTTCATACTGAGAGCAACTGGTATGAAGGGTAAAAGAGCTAATTTTTGGTGGGGGGGTAATGAGCTGTTCTCCCTGAGATTACGTTATTGGTGTTCTCTGACGTAGCCAGGGTCCATGACGTTAATATAACGTATTAATAGAAATATTTGTGATGCCGTATCGCGTGAGTCAGCCCATCATCCCTCTCTTGACTGACACGAGACAGTGTCTGGATACAGCCCACCGTGTTCTGTTTGTTCGTTGATAAGTTGTACTCAGCTCCTGTCTGCTTTTGGCCGTTGAGGTTAATACTGCGGGCACCTTCTCACTGAGGTTTGGTGTGTGTCTCACTCCAGGGGCAGGGGCGGAGCTGCTGCGGTCCACACTGGGAGGAGGTGCTGGAGGCGGCTCATTCCCCGCCCCCCCACATCCTCCCTCCTCCAAGGGTGAGAAGTGGTGTGTCTTTGTTTCGCATTTCCCTGATGACTGTAGAGATACTGAGCATCTTTTTGTGCTGATGGAAATTTGTATCTTTGGAAAGTAGTCTTTTGCAGTCCTTTACCCTTTTTAAGTTGAATTTTGTCATTTTATTGAGTTGTAAGAGTTCTTTCTTTACGTAGTCTTCACGTAGACTTCTGTCAGCTATGCAACTTGCAAAATTGTCCTCCCGTTTTGTTTCTTCACTGAATAGCGTCCTTTGAAGCAAAGACTTCCCTTCACTTTCGGTGAGACCATTTTATGAATTTTTCCTTAGGTGCTTCATATATCACAGCTGAGGAACCATCTTTTAATCCAAGGTCAAAGAGATGGTCAAAGTGGAGACTTCTTTCATTTAAAAATTTGATCTGTACATAAGTGATGTTTAAAATGATCTCTATTGCTAGATTAGAACATTAGTTTTACCAGCAGTAAAAACAGTTGGGGTTTTGGCAAGCTCTTGGCCCGCGAGACTTTGCACAGTCTCACGTGAATTTGAAAACAGCTGGGTTCAGGGAATTCGCTTTTGGGATGTGTGTTTGGGTTCTGCCTTTGAAACGTTACCCTTCGCGACTTCTGTAAATGCCTTTCTTGGCGTCCTTTCTGATCGAAGTTTTCATTTCCGTTTAATGAGTGGTCCCTGTAGTTTCTCAGGTGGGGGACCCGAAGGGCAGGCCCCTGGGCAGCCATCTCGTCAGTGGCTCTGCAGCCCGACCCGCGGGAGCTGCGCGCTCTGCTCACCGCCTGAGCATCTTCCCGAGGAAGCAGCCGCTGCCCGGGAGTTCGCTGCCTGCGTGTTCTGTCGTTTACACGTGATGCTTCGTTCCACTGTTCGAAAAGACCCATTCGAACACTTTTTCAAGTCTTTTTTTTTATAATCAACATTTCTGTCTTTTCAGGGGTACTTAGGTATGAGTAGTATGTCTCTATAGAAACATATCTGTAAGCACATGGATTTATACCTTTACGTGTGTCTGTAAGTGGAAATATGTTATTTCATTTTTGCTTCATTTTCTGACATTTCCCCCTAGGTTTTCTGATGTTCAGGGCCTTCTAAGGGGGAAAAGATGGTTTGGGGATAGAACCCGACTATTGGAAGATACAGACCAAAATTTCATTGATTTTTTTCTCCAGTTTTATTGAGATGTAGTCAACGTAGACCACTGTCCCTTGTTTTAATTAGATTGTAAACACTTAAAAAACTCCATCATATTACACTTGGCTTTAAGAAAATGGCCGTTTCACAAACCGATGAATTCATTCGAATCCCTCTTGGGCTTCAGGGACCGCCTACACCTGCGACGGACCACGGAGCAGCACGTGCCGGAGGTGGGCGTCCAGGTGAAGCGGAGGAGGACGGCGTCGCTGAGCAGCCACGAGTGAGTCCCGCGCCGGGCCGGGCGAGGTGGACCCCGCTCCCCGCGACAGCCGGCGTGCACCCCGGGGGCCGGAGCGGGGTGGACTAACGGAAGGGGCACCAACGTGCAGGAGAAGTAGCCGGAAACAATTCTGTCGCTCTAACCGGGGGGCCCGAAGTCAGCTCAGCTCCTGCCAGAGTCGCGGCCGTGTGTTTCCTTTTATCCGCACCAGAGCAGGCGGGTTTGGTCTTCGTAAAATTCTGTGTCCTTCAGCATATTTACGTTTAGTTACTTCTGCTTTATCACTGGTACGTTCCTGCAGTGAAAGAATGTTCAGTTATATATTCCTGCTTGCTCTGCAATACTCAGATAGTTATTTTGGGGAAGTGCGTTTATCTGGTTAAAACTTGCATGTGTACATTTTTACCTCCTTCCTTAGGCTATATACACCTGGACGTGCACTTTCACAATGAGATTTCAGAAGGGAGACTTTAATTAAAAATATGTGAACATTTCAGTGACCTGCTGCACGTTGAGTGCACATCGAACCCTTAGCCTTTGGGCATCACCACCGGTCTTGACGTTGTCAACTGGGTACCAGTGTTTTCTATTTAAAGCTGTATTGTTAGGTTATTTTTCCAAATTACAAGTATTAATGATACATGAATATAGTCTCTTTCTAAAACATAATTTACAGGTAAAAGTGAGTATCTGCTTCCTTCTCCACCCCTAGAGATAACCGTCATGTAGTTTGAGCTCTAATTTCTTTTCAGACCTTTTCCCCTGCGCGTGTGTGTATGTGCACGTGTGTACGTGTGTACGTGTGCACACACGGGGTGGGCAGAGGCATTTTGCGACCTGTTCACATACACGATTTTATTGTGTAACTGTGCCTTGGAGATTTTTTCACGTCGATGAAAAATCCTCATTTTATACTTTGTAGAATGTGGGTAGTATAAGGATATAATTAACTTCCTGATGGATATTTAGGTTTTTTTTGCATTTCATAGTCGTTACAAACAATGAGGATAAGAACAGTCAACCTGAAAATTAATATTAGTATTTGTATTTTTTTCACTTCTTCAGATCTTAAAGCTTTTTAAAAAATTTTAAAAAGTGGATAGCAGTTAGTGTGTTATTTTGTTAGCTCATTTTTTATGAAAAATTACAAATTTATTTGCACATTTTCAGTTACTGGTGAGGCTAAAGGTCTCTCCGTTTTCCCTGTTCTTCTTATTTACACTTCCGAGTTTATTTTTTCCTTTATTATATTTTCATTTTTGGAAATTACTTTCAAAAGGAATGTTTTATGAATATTATAGATAGTCCTTTATAGTAATTTGCCTGTATATAGGGTAACCTCTTATTTTCCTGCTAGTCTTTTATAACTTCAGTGTCTTTAAAAAGTGCCCCTGGAAATACGCTGAGGCGGCATCGTGGTGGAGGCGAGGTCAGTCCCTGGGGTGAGGCGAGGTCAGTCCCTGGGGTGAGGCGCACGCACAGCTGACTGTCGCCGGAGCCTTTCTCCTCCGCAGCCTCAGGTGGACCCGCCTCTCCCCGAAGGGTCCTGGCTAAGCCTTCCCCACGGATCGCTTCCGTGGCCAGAACCGCGGTTGCTTTTAAAGGGGGAGGCTGTGTTCTTGGCCTCTGACCCCTGCTGCACGCAGCCTGGGTGCGCTCTGGGCAGCACCCCGTGGGGTGGAAGGGTCTCAGGAGGCTCGTCGGTCGGGCAGGTGGTGCACTGGTGTCACCTCCCCTGCACCCGGGCGGTCATGGGGACGCGGGGCAGGCCTTTTGCTGCACCCTAAGCCCATGTGACAACCGCACGGCCGGGCTCTCCCAGGGCTGGGTGCCTCTTAGTTATCCGAGCGTCCACGTTAACGACAGCCACAGTCTCCCTTTTCCCAAACCGTGGGTCCCAGGATCCAGCATCCCCGAGGGGTCGTGAGGGCCAGTAAAGGGTGGCCGTCAGGATCAGTATCCCCCCCAGAACGACAAAGCAGAGGTAAATAACGTGCACGATTCGCCCTTTCACTCTGTTAATTTTACTTTTCGCGGTAACGCTCATTTTTCCTCTAGTCCTCTGTAACCTCGGAGTTTAAAAAATTATCGTTCCCCCCCGCCCAGTCTCCCAAACGCCCTTGAGGCAGCTTAGAGGTCGTGGTTGAGGAATGGGCTGCGGGAGGGTCCTGTGCCTGGGCGAAGGGTCTGTCCAGCTCACGGTGTCTAGTGGCGGCCTGTGTGCTGTGCAGCATCGAGCCAGACAGCACGCGGCCGGCCGCAGGTGTCATGGAAGCCCCCTGACGGACACTCAGAATTGCAGGTGGCCTCCAGCAGCCAGCTCTGCTCTTCGGGGCTGGAGTCTTCTGGACTCGTTTCATGCATCCCTTCAGATACCTCCCTACGTTCATGCTTTGCAGCGTGTAGTGTAAACGCTCTCCGTGCTGCTGCTCGTTTTCTCAGGCTCGGCTTAGTCTTCAGTTGGGTTTCAGGCTAAACTCGAGGGCACTGCACTAGGCGTTCAAGAAGCAGCAAAAAATGGTGTTTCTTCCTTTGGCTAAGTCTGCCCCTGAGCTTGCTCCTGCACTGCCGTCGACGCAGGCGCGTGTTCTCACCGGCTGTGCTGTGCTCTGGTCGCAGGTGTCCGCTGTACCCGAGGCGGTCCCAGCAGCAGGAGCCCGTGGTGGACTTCCAGGCGGAGCTGAGGCAGGCCTTCCTGGCCGAGACCCCGAGGGGTGGCTGAGGCCATCCTGGACGTCCAGGTAGCCGCTTCCGAGTGCAAAACAGGTTAGAGCCGGCGCCGTGCTGAGCCAGGGGCGGAGAACCCGTCACAGAGGAGGGGTTTGCAGGCCGCTTAACTTAATCATTTGGGAAACGTTACTGGGATCACTTTTTTCCCTTAAAAGCTTCACAGGATAAGCACATCGCAGGAAGTTGAGGGAAGTGAACGCAGGACCGAGTGCTTTTCACTGGCGCGTTTGTCGCGTTCCTGTGTCAGTCTCATTTCGTCGCAGTGCAGTGTAGGGGGCTCTTTCCATGTTTGATTTCTGTTGCTTTTCAACCTATCGTTCTGTGAAAAATAAACTTCATTCTCAGTGGTGCTGAATATTCTGCTAATGAATGTTTTATAATTCCCTTTTGTGAGAGACTTCGTTTTTTCTGCTGGGAATTTGAATAAAGCATCAGCGAATTGCTTTGCATAAAACAGGATCCTTTCATGCAGATGTGCAAATAAATTGAATCAAGGAATATGAACCTAAGATACATTTTCTAAATTGTTTACAGAGTATTATTAATCAGCCTTCATTGCTTTGAAAAAATAGAGTGCCAGGGATATACACTTTGACTTGCATTGATTATTTTAATTATATATCATCTGTTCTTACCGAGTTATAAATACACATCACATTCATTAGCAAATAAGAAGCTAAATATTTTCCTATGCTTATTTACTAATTATTTATTCCTTTTTTGTTTTGTCTTGTTCTCACTTTATTTTCATTAATGTATTTGAATCAGCTGACAATGTAATAAAGTTATTATCCATGATTTTTCAATGTGACGTAGATTTATTTGCAGTCTGTGTTTTTATGTTGGTTGCTTACATTTTTAGGGGGAAAGAAAGCTATACAGAATTTGATTCTGACTTGTTACTCTGTTTTTCCTTTGTGACTTTTTTTAATTTTAAGATTGCATGACCTCAATCCCAAGGGTTTCGTGTATACCTTTTAGAAACCAAGAGAAGGGGATTTATAGGTGAGTTTTCTTCTAGACTTTCTTTCTGTTTGAAATATTACCCATCAATTGAAACTCAGTAGGCCTGTTTAGTTTAGGTCCACCATTTTGAGTTTCAAAGCAAAGGTGAACATTTTGAGACAAATGCTCCCTGCCTGATTCTTTACCCAGCATTCCTCAGTGATTGTGAGAGGACTTGAATTCAGTGACGTCTGATCAGGGCCCCATTCCCAGAAGAAGGTCTCTTAAACGAGTAAGCCTGCACAGTTGGCGCTTTAACAGGAATTTTTGGCTCCTCAGTGCAGTTCCCACGCTCTCGAAAGTTCCTAAGTATAATATTTAAGCCACACATTGTGGTCTGCAAGAAAGGCCATCTGATTTTCCGATAGTAGGATTTTCTAGTCTCCAGGGCGAGTTTATCTAAATAGCATGAGTCACCAGCATCGTCTCAGAGCAGACGTGGCAAGGGCCGGACCCGCTGGCGGCCGGCAGCTTCGTCCGTAGAGTTTCATGGGCACAGCCGTGTCCGTGTGTTTGCACGAGGTCTGTGGCTGTAATGGCCCCGTGACGGCGGGTCGAGCAGCAGCAGTGACGGCGTGGCAGGCACAGGCTAAAATAGTTTCTTTGAGGAGGAGGCATTGGCCGGCCTCTTTCTGGAACACCACACCCAAGGGTGACAGCGGGCGGGGCTGGTGGGAGGGCATGGGGGGTGGGCACGTGTGAGGGGAGCGCCGCAGCCCAGGGGGCGTGGGCTTCAGTGGCGGTCAGGTGGGCCAGGATGCAGGACGCGTGGGGTGGGCCGCTTCGGGGACGGGTCGAGGATCGATTCTTCTTTTCCACATCAGAATCTGAAGCCGTGTGAGTAATTGCCGGGGAAAGTGGGAAAGTCAGTCCAAGGCTTGTCGTGCCGTGCTTCAACCGCGGCACGGGGTTAAATTTTATTTTGCCCGTTTGCTTTCGTTCTGAGAACGTGGGTGGTCGGACTCTTTCGAGCTAATTTATTTCCTGTTGATTTCACTTAAACGCGTGCCAGTCACGTTCCTCACCTTAGCACGTAGTCCTCGCGATTATGTATCACGAACAAAGGGTCCACACGTGATTTCCTTTTCTCATGGGCTGGGCGTTTTTCCTAGTTTGCGCTGCTGCTGATATTCTAACATTTAAAGATGCATTTGGTACCTTGAGTTAGGGTCAGGGTCCAGCTGTGGGCTGTAGGGCGTAAATGCCGTATGACTCACGCGTCGCGTGGCAATGCTGTCTGCCAGCGTCGTGGGCAGCATGGAGTTCATCAGGAGTTACTGGGGGTCAATTCCTCTGTGCACCCCCTGTGGTGTCTTTATAATGATTATTTTTGACAAATAGGCCTGAAAAGTTTCTGTAGCTTCAAATGGCATTATTTGTGGATGAATATTTTCCATTTATGTTTTCTCTCCTGTTACTCGTTAAACTTTTTTGCACATTTTTTGTCGAAGGGCCTGTTATCTTACTGGCTTTGAGCACTAGTGAGTTCATTGTCCCTTGGCGTCTCCTCTGGTGTGTGTGACTGAGCCAAGTCTGACCACATGACGTTTTGACTTAAATTTTCATGCAGCCTAATAATTTCAAAGTCCACACTTTCCAAAAGCTCGAGAACATCTGTGAGGGCTCCCAGGGTGTTTGAGAGGCGTGGGGTCGTTCGGGAGCCGTGCGCCCTGCGATGCGACAGCATCTACCGTGACAGCGAATGCGTCAAGTGCAGCCATGTGCTTCTCCATGACTCATTTGGCTCTCCTCTGCCGTGGAGAAAGTTGGTCATTCTACAAAGCGTTACCTTCTTCCTGGCAAGGGTTTCGTGACTGTGGTGTGTTAGGTTTAGGGATGAGAGATACCTGTTTAGATTTTAGGCCCGTCTCATCAAGGAGAGCCTGTTTTACCCGCCCTGAGCTGAGCGCAGTGAGCCTCGGCTCCTTTTTTTACATGGGTTACTATATGCGTGACCGTCCACGTCCACGTCCACGTCCACGTCCTCCAGGTCTCCAGTCCACGACTCCTGTCCTGGGCGCGTGTTTGTGCCTGATCAGTGGGCAGCGGCTGCAGGTGGGGTGGGAGGGGTTTGCAGCTCAGGTTGGACGGTGGCCGACAGGCCTCCGAGCGGCCTCCCCTCTCTGCTCCATCGTACAAAGAAGCCTCGTTTCAGCTTGTCTTGCCCTGTGGCTCAGCCCCGTGGACCGGGGCTGGTGGTGGGTGTTCACTGACAGGCCAGGTGGGTTAGGACGATGGGACGGGGCCAGGTGGGGGCCCCTGCCCGCAGCCTCGGGGCATCGGAAGGTGAAAGCCTTGCCCGCAAACCGCCCCCCCAAATGCACGCTTGGTGCGGGTCCCCATGAAATCGGTCCTTCCCCGAGAAGCCTCGTGGTTGCCCTTTTTCCTTTAAGTCTAGAAAAGCCGCATCTGGCGCTGTCTTCTGGTCGTCGCGGTCCTGCGGCTCATTGTCTGGCGCGCGTCTCTGTCATCTGCTGGCGGAGCGTGCTCCAGAGGTGGCGTCTTGTCGGAAGGTTGACTGTTTCGTTTTATTTTTTTTGCACCTTTGGCGACATAAGAAAGTGACGTGACAACTTTCGTACGTTATTGCAAGGTCCTGACCTTTTACTTTATAGAAAGTTTTATCGATGTATATTTTACACACCATAAAATTCACCAGAGTATGTCAGTTTTTTCATAAATTTAGAAAATTTTGCCACTGACACAAGGAACTTTTAGAACATCCCATTACCCACGTGAGATCCCTGTGCCATTTGCACACATTCCCTGTCCACCCCCTAGTTCAGGCCACCGCTAAGTTTACTTCGCCAGCACAGACCGATGGAGACCCTGACCCTTAGTAGAGAGAATGATGCAAACGTCAGAATTGCAGAGGATTCACACACACACACCAAGCGTTCCCGGACCCGGGCTCTGCGTTGCAGAGAAGCCTGTCAGGAGTCAGAGCATCTGCATCACGGGCCTCACGTCTGCTCGTGTGATGTGAGTTTGGGTCATAAACTACACTCGCGGGGCGAGTGTTCCGTCTGACGTTCTGAATAGATCTTTCCACAGTCCGTTTCATGTAACACGTTAAGTCACGTACGGATGTGGGATGCCGGACACGGCGACATCCCTGCCGTCACCTTTGTCTCCTTGGGGACACGTCGGGCAGACGGGAGAGGAGGCAAGTGTATGGGCGTGAGGTTCAGTGTGAGTGTGGGTTGGGCGGCCACCGTGTCGAGGGGACTGATTTCTCAGGCGTCCTGCACAGAGCACGCTGCCAGTTTGCACGTGAGGAACGAAGGTCGGAGATACTTTGCGGAGTTTGTTAAACAATCCGACAGCCTCCAGGTTGTCATGAACACGTCCTTACCGGACATCGAGTTCGGGTGGAGACAGGGAAACCGCCATCTGCGTGAGCGCACTTCCCGGGGCGTTTCTCTGACGCCCCGTGGTGTCCGGATCCACGTCAGTTCCACGTGGGAAAAGTTCCCAAATGTTCTTTTATGACTTGGCGTTGCCGTAAATGATTTCGTTTTCCTATCTCGAAAGAGATGAGCCAGTGTTTACTGAACCAGTTTACTTTGCCGTTTGCAAATTTGCTCTTAAACAGTGGCAAACAGCCTTATTGGAAACGTTTGCAGCGTTAAAAGTATAATTACGTCAGACTGCGTTTATGATACTGGGCTGCTTTTATGCATAAGGCCGAATTCTCAGTCAAAAGTAATGCAGTTGGGGAGGGTTTTATTCTTTAATTGCTGGTTTGCCAGTTTGGGCTAGATTTGTTCGCCATACTTAATAGAAGCACGTTGCAGGTGCGTCGGGGAGTTGATAGCACGGTTATAAAGCGCGCTGCCCACATGTCCGTGTGAGCATCCGGTGGTCGCATGTCCCCCTCCAGCACGGGAGGTGTCCAGCAGGGACGTGGCGACACGTGCGGCTCTTGGCGAGGAGAAGGTGCCTCGCGTCATCTTGAGGGGCACCGGGTCGCAGGAGAGGGTCACTAACGCTCTAGGTTCCGCCGAGAGGCCAGAGTTCGAGCTGACTCAGGGTCCATTCAGACAGGGAAACGTAGGTTTGTCAAAATGCCGAGGTCGAGGGCAGAGGACGCCCCCTAAGTGCGGACGGGAAGACGTGCGTGTGGGAATGGACAGTGTACGTCCCCGTGGAGTGAGATTCGGGAGTGGACGGGATGGGTCTGAGGTCAGAGGACAGGGGCGTGGTGTGCCGAGCTCGCACGGTGGCGACGGGTACCAGAATTAGCGGGGCAAGCACGTGCTAGGGGACGGACGCGGCGGGGCCCTGCGTGTACGTGGATGGGGCGAGGGCTGGGGGTCAGGGCGAGCCTGCGGGAGGGGCCGTGCGTGCGGTGACAGCTCCGTCCTGCTTCCCCCGCAGGCCCCGTGCTCTGCCGCCGCTGCCCGCTGCCCGGCTGGCGTTGTCTGTGGCAGGACCTGTGCCGTCCCTGGTCTGTAGCCCTCCCTCAGGTCGGCGGTCCCGAGCTTCACCGCGAACGTCGGATCCGGTGGGCCTGCAATCATGGTAAGACGGGGCGGCAGGCCGCCAGCGGGGTGACGCGCCCGTGCGTGCGGTGCTTCAGGTCGTTGGTGTCATTGAACGGGCTCACAGCGGGGGCAGGTGTGTCTGCAGAACCGGAGGGGCCCACCGCGGAGTCGGCACAGGGGCGAGTTCGGCCCCGTTTTCGGTGGTCTGGGTGGGGGGACCCCAAGGGGCAGACCTGAGGTCGAGCTGCATAGACCTGGAGTCCAGTGTGAAGCCGGTGGCTTTGGGGCTTTCGGGCTTCGTTAGGGAAGGAAAGCAGTCCCTGCAGAGACGTGGCGTCCCCTGCGTGCTCCGTTCAGTTGGGGGCATGGTAACCTAGAACATGGATTCTCAGTGGCAGGGGGCCCACGGGCGGGAACAGCCCTTGAGAAGTGGGAGGAGCCCTCGATCTTAGTGACTTGTCTCCAGGGGCCACAGCGTGGAACCAGGGAGCACGTGCGCATGCCGAGGTGTCGGGAGTGGGTGATCGGGATAAAAGTCTTAAGCAGTTGCCTCCGTGGGACAAAAAGGAATAGAATTGGTGAAAACGGGTCGAGGCCCTGAATGAAATGGGGTGCGGGGTGCACGAGCTGGGACAGGCCTTGGGGACCTCACACGGCCTGTGGTGCTTGTGCTGGGGAAAGTGCAGGCCAGGCCCTCTGCAGGAGGGAGGGGCTGGGGATGGGAGCTGGGAAGGAGGGGAGTCGGAAAGTGCCGGAAGGGAACTGGGATGGCGGGCAGCTGCTGGGGGGCCTCGGGGGAGGGGGGGCTCGGCCCAGGTGGACCCAGCATCCTGAGGAAGATCAGAGGAATGTTGGCGGGGAAGTGGGGGGAGCCCAGGTTCAGATGGGGCGTGGCAAGGCGTGTGGGGGTCCTGGCCCAGATCAGCCCAGCATCCCGAGGAGGCTCCGAGGAATCGTGGAGGGGAGGTGGGGGAGCCTGGGTTCGGATGGGGCGGGGTGGGATGGGCTGGTTCTCAGCAAAGTGTCTGAGGAGGCTCAGAGGAATGCTGGCGGGGAGGTCGGGCGGGGGGCCAGGTTTGAGGTTTG